ACAAGAATTCCAGTTGTACATTCTCAGGCAACGAGGGTGCTATTCAACCATCTAAGTTGCTCAACATTTGGCATCCTCCTCCGTCTAATTGAATCAAAGTCAACATTGATGTTGCCGTTCATAACTCCTACAAGGTCGAAGTTGGAAGAGTTTTTAGAGATCATCTTGGGAGGTTTTTGCTAGCTTTTGGTAAAGATTTTATGCACTGGGATTAAGGTACTATGGAACTTCAGTCAATCCTTTTGCTGAAGAGTGTAATCATAAATTGGATGAAGAATTATAAAGGATTGGTTATTAAAGGTGATAACAAGAATGTTATCAATTTCATCAAGAGGGTGGTGGAAAAAGGAGGTAATGATTTCATAGATTTATCTTTTATTAAAGAATTCAATTTAGTTATTTTTAAATCGATCGTCCTGGACGTTTCCCAGAACTAGTTTCAGGCCGATATTTTGAACAGTACAGATCGGCCTGGACGATCTCACTATCGTCCCGGACGATCCTGGGAGGAAATTCCAAGCCAGAGAGGAACAGTAAGGGAACGAGGTCTCACATTTTTAATCACTATAAAATACTAAAGAGTTCACCCAAAATGTGATGTTCCCACTATTTCAGCCACCTAGCTATTGCTCAAACAAATGAAATTACGTTTTGGGGGAGGAAGGAGAAATAATTGGTGAAGTTGAAGAAGTTGTTGTTGAGGAGAGGAATTCTGTTTTGGTTCCAGCTGGAATAAACAAAGATGAATCAACATCATTTGATTCCTTGGAGGATAAATCCATTATGCAGGAGGATGGGTCTAGTAAATCAAAAAGAAAAGGTGCTAAGCAACTTAGGGGACTTGGTCCCATTAAACTTGTTCCAAGAAGTAGAAAACTGGAAGGAGATGTGAAAGGAAGGGCGCGGAACCTTTTCCCCTTAGACCATTAAATGTCTTCTATCGGATTTTGGAATTGTAGGGGAGCAAGAAAAAGGAAAGCTTCCCTATATGCAAGGGAGTTCATTCGAGATTATAGTTTATTCTTTCTTCGGTTGATAGAGACAAAGTTGATAGTGGTTGATAGCAAGCTTATTAAGGTGATGTTTGGAGAAGGTTGGGATTTCTTTTATGTTCCTTCTGAAGGCCTATCGGGAGGAATTTTGTTGATATGGAAGCTAGGGACGGCTTCATTCAAAGTGGTGGAAGCATCAACACAGTTTGTGGTAGGTGACCTTGATGTTCTCAACAAAGGCACTTGGAGAATAGCTACCATTTATGGGAGCAAAGATGATTACAGAATAAGGTTTCTATTGGACGGTTTGGATCGTCTCATGGTCAAAGATGTTTCTATGATTATAGGAGGAGATTTCAATTGCTTGTTGTCTAAGGAGGAAAAGAAAGGAGGGAGGAAGTTTTTATTTAGTCTGGGGACTAAGGAAATGAAGTCTTTTATCTCTTGCAATGATTTGCATGAGGTTACTTGTGTTGGTCCCAAGTTCACTTGGTGTAACAACAAGAAAGGAGCTGAAAGGATCATGGAAAAGCTGGAGAGGTGCCTTATTAATTCAGCTGCTTTTAACTCTCCTCATAGATTAATGGAAAGGCATTTCATAAGGATTGCTTTGGACCATAGTCCGATCTTACTGAATTTGCTGGATTTCAGTTCTCCAGCCAGGAAGGTTATTAGATTCGAAGAGGTTTAGACTTCAATTCCTGCTTCTACAAAAATAGTGAGAGAATCATGGAGAAGAAAATCTCAAGGAGATCCTTCTCAAGCTTTAAACCAAAAGATTAAAAAGACCTTAAGGAATCTTCACTATTGGAGTATAGCTAAGTTTAAAGATCCCAGTCTTTCTAAAGAAGAGTTAAAAGAAGATATTATGGTTTTACAGAAGAAGGAAGCTGACGTTTGGGAGCTTTCGAAGGATGAGCAATGGAAATTGAAAGCTAAAATAGAGGAGCTCAATTCTGTTTTAGCCCGGTTCAATATTACATGGAGACAACATGCCAAAATTAAGTGGCTAACGGATGGGGACACAAACTCCATATTCTTCCAAGCTTTTGCAAGTGCTAGGAGGAATTTAAACTACATCTATAATATCAAAAACAAGCAAGGAGACATGGTTGAGGATCAAAAAGATATAGTGGAAGTGTTGTTTCGGTTCTTTAACAGCAAATGGGAAGATAGGGAATGTATATTGAATGGATGGTCGGTTCCTGTTAATACCTTGGAAGAAGTTGATAAAAAGTTTCTGAACAGAGGATTTACAATTGAAGAACTGGAGAAGGCCATTAAGGAGCTTGGAGGTAACATAGCACCGGGTCAAGATGGTATGACTTACTCATTTTTTAAATTCTATTGGAACATCATTAAGGTCGATTTATGGAAAGCCATCAAACACTTTTTCATAAGTGGTAAGATGAATGATAGTTGGAAAAACACAAATATTGTATTGATTCCTAAAATTAAGAATCCTACATCCCCTTCCAATTACAGGCCCATTAGCTTATGTAACTCGATTTATAAGATAGTGGCTAAAATTCTCCTTAGTAGACTCTTGTTTGTTATTCCAAAGTTAATCTCTAAAGAACAAGTGGCTTTCATGAAAGGGAGGTCTCTTTCAAATCACGTTCAAGTAGCTCAAGAAGTTTTTCACAAATTCAGGCACTCCAATTCTTCCAAGGGGATGGTCTCATTCAAGATTGATATGAAGCAAGCCTATTAACTCCATGGGTTGGCCAACATTGAATAATGTTCTAAAGTATTTTGAATTTCCGGATTTCTATGCTAATCTTATTATGGAATGTGTTATTGGACATAAATTTTCTTTATTTGTCAATGGAATCTTTTCAAAGTGGATTGATGCTCAATTACTACTAATGCATTCTTACAAAGGGGGAATTCTATTGGGATTAGCATTTCTTCAAATAGTCCCAAGGTCTCTCACTTGCTCTATGCCGATGACATCATGGTTTTCTCTTAAGCTAACTTGAAATCTGTTAGAGAGGTAAAAGGTATTCTTTTGGAGTTCTGTGGATGGACGGGTCAAAAAATCAACTTACAAAAATCTGAAGTTCTTTTTGGAAGGTAATTGAAGAAAGAGAGAAGGAAGAAGATTTGTAAAATAATGAAGTTCAGGAAACTTCATGAATCCACTTATCTAGGGACCAAGGTGGCATTGAGGAGGCTGAAAAGAGCTGATTTTCAGTTCATTATGGACAAAGTATTGAATAAGCTAAGTATATGGGGTGGGAAATTGCTCTCATTAGCCGAAAAAATTACTTTGGTGAATTCAATTTTACTTGCTTTACCTACTTTTCATACAACTTTGTCATTGGTCCCTAAACAAATTCTGAATGAAGTTGAAAAGGCATGCAAAAAATTCATTTGGAGCAAAGGTGATGGAAGAAATGGACTTCATTATGCTAGCTAGGACTTATTATGTAAACCTAAGAGTTGGGGAGGCCTCGACATTAACTCTTGTTTGAAGAAAACAGAGCCTTTAAGGGTCAAGCTTGCATGGAGGTATTGTCAAGAGAAAGAGTCCCTTATGCATAAAGTTTTATTCCCCAAATATGGTCCAATACAATTTGAAGCTTCAACAAGGAAAAGCGGATCGGCATCATGGAGATTAATTTACAATGGAGGGAATTTTTTGAAGCCAATAGTTAGATGGAGTATTGGCAATGGCAATTCAGTCAATGTGTTAAAAGAAACATGGATCTTTGATAAGAGTTTGCTGTTTGGCCAACCTTTATCAATTCTATGTTGGAAGATGATCAATTGGTGGAGAGATTCATAAGGAATGGAGTATGAAACGTTCAAGAGCTACAGAAATTCTTTGGTAATGATTGTTTAGAGCTAATATCTTCAATTCAAATTCATAGAAAGGAAGAAGACCGATTGGAACTCATTCACAAGTTCTCTGAAAAATCCTTAACAGCCATAGCAGCTGAAGCAGTTGTACCCATCAATTCTGAGGTAAAAATTTGGAGGCAGATTGATAAACCCAAACTTATTCCTAGAGTTAATATTTTATGGTAGAGATTACTAAATGAAGCTATTCCTACAAATCAATTTCTGTGTTATAGAAGGCTTCAAGGCTTTGACTTATGTCCTAGAGGATGTGAAATAGTGGAAAATAATGAGCACATAATTTATGGATGTGGTAAATTTCTAGAGGTTGTGGAAGTTTTAAATAAGTGGAGGTTCAGAATTCCTAAATTCCATTCCTTGGAAGAATGCTTTAAGTGGCTTGAGGTTCAAAGCTCTTGGATGAAAAGCCTTTACTGTAATACCATTTATCATTTCTAGAAATCCAAGAATTTTTTTGTTCATGAGAAGGAGATTTTCAATCCATTGATAATAGCTTCTAATGAGGTATGCTTTACCGATGGGTACAGGAATTCCAGTTGTACATTCTCAAGCAACAAGGGTGCTATTCAACCATCTAGGTTGCTCAACATTTGGCATCCTCCTCCGTCTGATTGGATCAAAGTCAACATTGATGTTGCCGTTCATAACTCCTACAAGGCCGGAGTTGGACGAGTTTTTAGAGATCATCTTGGGAGATTTTTGCTAGCTTTTGGTAAAGATTTTATGCACTTGGATTCAGGTACTATGGAACTTCAGTCAATCCTTTCACTGAAGAGTGTAATCATAGATTGGATGAAGAATTATAAAGTATTGGTTATTGAAGGTGATAACAAGAATGTTATCAATTTCATCAAGAGGATGGTGGAAAAAGGAGGTAATGATTTCATAGATTTATCTTTTATTAAAGAATTCAATTTAGTTATTTTTAATTTTGTGGATAGAAAAAGCAATAAGTTAGCTGATATATGTGCTAACTATGCATGTTTTAGTTCTTTTATTTGGGAAGATGTGGTGAATAGCAAAATCCCTCCTACCTTCATTAAATTGTTAATGAAGGAATCGGATGGTATTAGATTGTAATTTCCATTTCTTTTTTTCCTTAATAAAGCATTTTTATTGCTTTCTTCAAAAAAAAAAAGGACAAATGAAATTACATCAAATTGCTTTTGGAAAATCCAATCTAGAGTTCAAAATGTATTTCTTAAACTACAATAAATAACGTTACAACATTATACATATAAGATAATCTATATGAAATCTTAACCTAAGACTTCCCTTAGAACTGATCGTAGGCATAAAAATGAAGCATCTTTTTCTTGTTTTTGGGCATGCAGCTTACATAGTGCCCGGCCTGCAACCTTCCATGCAAAGCTGCAATAACTAACTTTACTAGTAGACTTAGCCATTTTATAAGCTATCTGATATATTGCAAGAGCTTCATTGAATATATCTTCTTCTTTTTTTGTGCTCTCTTCAAATTCAGCTGCTCCATACAACAACTTAATGGTTTTTTGGAAAATAAAAATAAAAATATATTTATGTGTTAGGACGAGCTATTAAAAAAAACTCAATCATAAAAGCTTCATGAATAATAATCCTACCTTCTTATACTTCTGAATGACGTCATTAGCCCGTTTGTCTTTGTATTCTTGTGGCCCCTGCAACGCAGTCGCCATATCACATCTGTAGTCATCATAATGTTTCTTCCATATACTTGAGTAAGGTTCACGAGCCTCTTCACTAAGGCAAGGAATAAGCCACACGGCTAAATACCGCATGAAAGGAAAAAAAAAAAATTAAATAAAGCATTACGTCAAAAAGACAATTTTATTTGCATAAAAAATTACCTATCAAGCAAAATTCTAATTTCAAATCTTGAAGACCAATATAACAACCTACATATTATATTTACAGAAATAAGGTTTTCATTTAAATTTAAAACTATTCCCATCCTCAAGTTCAATATTAAATAGCCTTGCAATCATATATTAAAAACAAAAAACAAAATAATCCAAAAGACGGATAATTTCTACAAAATTTCAATAAAAACAACTAAATAAAAGGCATAATTTAAATTCATAAGCTAATCTGGTTCAACCTAGACTTGGGTATAGACATGATTATTGATTTCAGTTGAAACATCTGAAGAGTCAAAATTAACACAACTCTTATTGGTTCGTTGGTTTGGAGTTTGGCTCTTGATTAAGAGGTCATGATTCGAGTCTCACATATGTCTAGTGTGTGTATTTGAGCTCTGCCCCTGATTTCCGAAAAAAAAGATCATAATTATGGCACACTTAAAAGTACAACTCTTTTTATCATAATCAACTCGTGTGATACAAAAGTCTTCCTTGAGAAGATGACACTAAAAAAAAATTATGCACTGTAAAACCAATGGGATGATTTAATCAGTGATGAGTTATTCAATGTTGCCAATTCGTGTAATAATGGAAAATAGATGTGGACAGCAGAAGAAAGTATATGTGTTAAAAAATGTACCTTGATAGGGTTTTATTTATGGTAAATAAATATCTAAATTAAATTCTAGAGACAATTGAATCAAACATTCAAGTAAAATAAATACCTAGGAACTTTGTATAAATAAGAATATCATGCAATAGCTTTCAAACATGTTTAGAGAAAACACTCTGATCCAGTTCTAACCAGTACATCATTGCCTTCATAAATACCAAGTTTCTTCTATAAACATCACCTTTAACCTTTTTTTACGCAAAGCATTTAAAAAGTATGATAGCCTTTGCAAGTTTAATTTTGCAACATTGTGCATTTTTTATTATTTGCATATTTGCTTCTATGTACAAAGAATCATGAAAACAAAAGGATAGGTGAATGCATGGAGTAGTGTTATTGCAGTTCGTTAATTTGCTCTTGGCCTATAAAAGAGCTTGCTAGGCTGCAAAATAGGTTATTGGACTGACATAATTCTAAAATCCTTCTACCTACCCACAGATTCTCTCGGTCTTAACAATATCTAGTTGCTTTTCTCTCTAAACATCATTTTTCATAATACCTTCCTTTATACTGATTTTGGCATCGAAGCCTCACCATCCTGAAAATTGGTTCTCTATCTCACGCCTTCAATAGCCATGCAATTAATCCCCAATTGCAATGCTCTACATGACACCTACATTCAGGTACCTTCATTATAGTTTCTCGTGTGTTCAACTTTTATTTGATCCACCCCCATCCCACTTGAATATAATAGTCACACTCAAGTCATAGCCATTCATGTGCTCGCTTATCCTCAGTAAAGGCTTGTCCTCGCTGTCATGTTGTAATAATCATGCTCCCACTTACAAGCACATTGCCTTTACCAGCATACATTTTTCTCTATATGACCGATTTGCATCCACAACGAGCACAACCCGCTACCCAGTTCACAATTCATCTCTCCACCATTGATAATGACGACGCACCAAAAATGTTGTAGACACTCATTTAACTATGAATTGGATTGTGCTTATTCTCCTCACTATTTTTTCCTACACCTAACACAAGTGCTGGCACCTATGGTGTGCTCCCTCGCTATGCATTGTTGCAAGCCGGATTAACCAAAAGAAAGATCACTCATATTTTAATAAGTATTAGATAGGAAGAAAGAAAATTTTAATTAAGAGGAGCATATGGGATTATGCAATTAAAGTAGAATTTAAACAAGTTAACAAATAATGAATGTCCTGCATGTAGTTATATATACGATGTTTAGGTACTAAGCTATGATGGACAACATATGAGGATTGGTTGGGGGACAATCTCCAAAAGCTTAAGTGTGCATTTCTGATTTCAAAATTAGGCTAAATGCTCCTTTCTTCCACATTTGATTCGTTTGATTGATATGTATCTAATTCATTTACCTTCATATCCATTGCATGAAGTTATTGTGTTAAGATTTGTTATTGAGAATTGAGAATAGTTTTGCAGTGATTTTCATATGGTTTAAAAGAAATATAAATTTCAAGTTATGTTTAAACTACTAATGCAATCTTTATACTATTTTATGCAAATTTTCTCATAAATTGTTGATGCATGCTGAGGTGAAAGTTAACTGAATGATATACAGAAATGTCAGAAATGAATACATTCGTATGTTGAAAGGTGGACTACTCCCTTATATAGCAAGGATGCAAAATATAATAGCGCATTAATGACTTTAATCTTACCGTCATAGACAATAGTGGATGCATGAGCTATGCCTCATTGTATTCATCTGGATGCATCAGTCAATGATAAGTTAGGTGCAGTATTGCCACAAACAATAATAGATTTATAAACTGCACCTTATTTGCTGACAATGTAGGTATCGGCAAATTGTGAGTAAGGTTTATAGTTAGATATTGCTCCTGAGAAAAATTTATTAAGCATCCACACTAAGCTATGAGAAAATAAGATCCTCTAAGCTCTATGTATAGAGAAAAAGGGTAACAATTTATATTGACAATTAGTCCGATCATAATATTGGAGCATTAGCTTATTCCTCTAATTTCAAAGACATTATTATGCAAAACGAAAAGAATCTCAAGAAGCAAAAAATTTCTAATGAATATTACACTTAATAAATATAACTTAATTTACAAAGCATTAAAAAAATTGGTCTCTACAAAATTAAAATGTCATCAGGAAAGTTATTGGTTAGAAAACTTTAGAACAAGGATAGTAACTTAATAAATAAGGAAAAATAAATTAATAACTAAAACATCATAATATACGCATTATTAAGGAAAACAGAAAAAATCATCATTTACTAAGTCTGCAGTCACATTTAGTTGTAAGGTTGCAAAATATTGTCTAAGATTAGAACCACGATACAGAAATATATCATGTTATATGCATGAAACATGTCAATTAATAGATTAAAAAGGGTTACCATTTGGGGGAACATCTTCTGTCTGAACAGTATCAACCTGATCGTGGATCAAACCGAGTATGGACTTTGAAATATAAGAATTTGTTCTTCCCATGAAATGTGGAAAAAGGTCAGCTTTGAGATCCCTGGGAACTTCAACCTAAGCACAAAATTACGAATGTGGCTTTAAAACAAGGTATATAGTGATTTTCAAGGGGTGCCGAGAATCATCGCAATTTACATCAATATTAGTAAGTTTTTAAATTTTTACAACACTAAATACATCTGACCGCTAATATTAGAATACAAAAACAAAAGAACAGAGCAGCTACACACTTCTAGCTAGACTATCTCAAGCTTTACAATGGTCACATCAACCACATATGAAAATGATGCTTTCAAAATTAAGTTAATCAAAAAAATCGACCAAGTTTCATGAATAGTATAACAGGAAGGTAACAGTGAAATATAATAAAATTCAGAGACCTTTGAAAAGAAAGTCACTTTCAATGGTAACATATAATAAAGTAAACAAACCTTCAGACCACTCTTCGGAGCATCCAAAGCATTGTAGTAGAGGTTAACTAAGTGAATCATTTTTTCTTCTAATTGTTTCTTTTCCTCAAAACAATCATCCACTAATGTTAATAGCCGATCCATGTACACCATCCAATGATTTGAGGCCTCACTGATTGCGTAGCTAAAAAACGTAAAATAAAACACAATGGTAAGAAACAACAATTTCCTACAACTGACAAAACGCAATAACAAAATTCAACATTTAATTTGTAGTGAGGGTAATTCTGTAAAACAGGAACTCAAATGAAGATGAATCAGCATAAGAGGCACTTCTTAGTGCAGAAAACTGGGTCATAATGAAGGTTTCATAGATTTTTATTCAACTTCTATGTTAGCTGGACCTCAAGTTATGAAAATTTAAAATTACATATATATATTTAAAAAAGTGTTTTAAATGTGATACCATATGATGGATAACGATAGATGAGCATGCATAACATCACAAGATTTGGATGTGTTGCAATGTAAGCTAATTCATCAACCCTATCATGTGAAATGCCCGATAATAACAGTAATGAACCAATTAAAGTATTTATCAGTCATTTTATTTATGCCTAGTTTAAATTGTAAAGAACATATTTTTTTTATTAGCATGTTACAACTGTTATCTTTTCTTAAATGTTTATTTCAAGGTAATAGGAATAACTTCATACAACCATGTTGACCTTGTTAGTATATGGTGCTTTCGAAAATAAAATCGGTAAACTGTCACATAGATAAATAAGTTAGTCAACAAGTCAAACCAAATACTAATAAAGTCATAGAGAAGATGCACGTGAAAAATGATTATTTTTAAGTATGTATATCACATACAGACAAAACATTTCTTTTTTAAAAGAGGAGATAAGTGGGTACAAATTGAATCTTTAGCCCAATATAGGTCTAGTTATAGAATACATGAATAAAACAGAGTTAATTGTTGTCTCGCATGAGGATCCATTAGTCTAGGAAACCCCACCTAAATGTATCAACTTAAGCATTCTCAATATTGCCATTTAGATTTCTTTCTCAACGCTCCTCCAATGGATCAATCTATTTTATCTTCAACCTTACTCATCAACTCAACACAGATGACGTCCTGTCATATTGCAACGGAAAACCTGTAATCTTTTTGACTTCCAAATGACACATCCTAGTTCATCAGAAAAAAATTAGTAACGATAGCCTAAAGACATTAACCTAAGCCTTCTCCAATATAATGATCTCTTCTTAATTATCAACTCTTCATTCAAAATCACTTTTTACGAGCATTTAGAAGTGTTATGATTCATTTAATACTCTTTTTATTTTATCAAACTCAATTCATGTCTCTTAAAATAATAGATCTAGAAAATTTTCCTCGTGAACTTCCCAATATTTTTCGATTTAAATAATTTATTGTTGATTGTTATGTGCTCATGTTAAGTTCCTTATTACTTGCAAGAATTGAAAATATATTTTCCACAAGAAAATTAGAAAGTAGATAACTTGATTCCATGAGATTTTGCACAAGTTGAGAATTTTATATTCCTAATTCAAAGCCTTCTATAGACATATGCCTGCAAATCAAACGTCTTTCCCAATCATGGAACACAACCTTCAATAAACAATGTCACAATGCTCCAATTTAATTTTGGCTCTAAGATGTCTGCCAATATTTTGCATTGAAATGTGTCCTTCCATGTTTGGAGATCGGGTGTGCGGCAGAGATAGGGGCATGGAGATAAAATTCTTAAGAAAATTGAGACTGCTATTTGATCAAAGGCTTCTTTTGGATCTCTTAATTTATCTAATAGACCATGTTAGAAACCAGGAGTTCAAATACAAAGGTAAAACCCACACAATGAAAGTTGAAAACATGACAGGATATTTAGAGAAAGACCTCAGCTAGAAAAAGTCTTTCAACTCAACTTAGAAATCAAAGGTATGGAAATTTAAAACATATAGGTTTTACAGCATGATCAATGTGTGATTTAAGAGCACATTGTGGACATGATCCTTTGATTTTGAGGAACTATCCAATCTATTAATAGCCGGGGCCTGAGCCTGGTTTAATCAACAATATCTTTTATTACATGGTCTATTTTGAATTTGAAATGCATGGCAATTTTTAAATCATTGGACTGGTGACTTACTGCACAAATAACAAAGTAGCTATTATTGCCTTTTTGGTATTATAGTTTTTTTTTACATTTTTTACTTTTTATTTTTATAGTATTTCCTCTTAGGTGAAGATTTCCTTTTGGGTCATCAGCAGACTTCTTGTAGCCTATTTAATGCGAGCAATGTCTTGATGACTTCTTTTCTAGATATCTTTGAACGCAAAAATGAAATTTTATGCTACAAATACATTGGGCCAAATAATGCCATAGGCAAAATGACGTGCACTCCATAATAGCCAAACACCTTATCTTGACCCTTTAGGTAAAGCATGTGATGAGCAATTATAAAATTTAGCACGACCATTAAGACTATATAGCATATTAAGGATAGTTATCAATTTTACTTGGACATTGCTTCAATGAATTTGGACTCAACTGACGAATGATACCAATGGACTCTTTAAGTTTTCTTTGCTTGGAGAGGAGAAGAATGCTTCACCAAAGACAAACTGGATGACGACCAAGAGAATATCGCTTCAAGGAAATATATAGCTAATTTTATTAGGTGACTATTTGCACGTAATCCTTAATTTATAATGCTTCACTACAACATTAATGCTAGATTGGTCATTTATATATTCGCATTTAATTTCTATTAGGAATTAACATTTCGTAGAGTGTTTAGGAAAGCTTAGCGGTTTAGTTGTCATTCTATTCCTACAAATAGAAGTTCAGCACTTCAAAAAAATGATGGCATAAAGAGCAGTACGGGAATTTCATGCCACCAATATCATAGCTACCAAATTTTTTACTTTGAGTATTCAATAAAACAAAAACTTTTAGAATTCAAAATATAGAGGTTTGGGTATTCCACCATCTCCATTTACTTGATCTTCAATCAAGTAAATGATCTTTATTCTTGGACTTCTAAGCCTTAACTCTTCCTATTTAACCCAAATCCAATGAGGATTTTCCTCCTCTTTGGCCTAAAAGTCAAAGTCTATCTATTTGGCCCAAATCATAAATAATCTCTTCTTCATTTAGACCCAAACTCTAGACATCTTCATTTAACTAAAACAAATAATCCCTCCCCTTTCACAACATTTAAAATGCAAGCTTTAGATGTCTTTTAAGAGTCTTCTTTTTTAAATCCACCTTATCAAATTAGATGAATTTCATATAGTATAAACCAAACCCTTATGTATATTTACCTTAATTTATTAGATAAATACTTCTCTTATCTAAACACCAAGAGAATTCTAATAAAATGCATAAAAATCACCTAGTTTCCTCTTGAGGCAATGAATGCTTCATACCACCCAAAAATGTGGAATGTCTATGTCATTACATCTTAGGATACAATACGTAAAAGGCTTGCGTCAAGGAAAGCAATGGTTTACTCTATGGGTTCTTCATAACCCTCCTAAATATAAAACTTAAAAAATCGAATAAAATTTTAAGTCACAAACAGCTTAAAGTAAAATCACCAACTGGACTAAAAATTAAATCTCTTCTCACTCTACAATTGAAACAAGAAACTCATTCATAGTGTTATACATCACACAAGTCAACACACACTTATGCATAACCTCAAAGCATCCAAGGAGTAGGATTTTTTCTTTTCTACATATGTGATTGTTGTGTTTGGTGTAATGATTATTAAATTATATGAGTTATGAGAGCTTGTCTTTAAGTGGTTAGGATAAATTTGCGTCAGTAAAAACGGCGCATAATGCGACGTAAATTTTACGGCGTTTTTCCAGCGCATATGGCGCCGGAACGTTTCCGACGACATATGCGCCGGTATATACGTCGGAATAAACCAGCATATTACTAGTTTCGACGCACTTTACGGTGGAAAATAGTCAGCACCGTTACCGGCGGATAATGCACTGGTGATTTTAAAGTCAACGACTTAATTCCGGCGCATTCGCGCCGGAATTTTTTCCGGCGTCTTGGACGCGGAAACGCCGCCGGCGAAAGCCCTATTTTCGAACCCGAGCCCCTCTGGCCGCTCATTTCTTTCCTTTCGTTCTCTCACATCAGCGTTGTTTGCTCGTCGCCCTCCATCGCTCGTCGTAGATCGAGGTCACCGACGGTCACCGGACATCGCCGACGGTCATATCATTCCTCTTCGGTGAGAGGTCCAGTTGTGACCGCAAGTTTTCGCCGTCTTCCTCCCGTCGATTACCCGTTGATTGTAAGGTTTTTTTTTCGTTTAATTTGTTTGGATTCATGCTGAGTTAGGTTATTATGGAAGCTATACATTTTTTGAGAGTTTTGATGGACATATATATAGAGAGAGTAAGGAGGATCAACATATGTTGTGTTTAAACACAATACATGTGCTTTGACCAAATATTTTCTATTTCAGTTGGATTACATCAAGGATCATTGCCCATATCTTTTTTGTTTTAGTAATGGATGTTCTTATGAGACATTTGCAAGAGGATGTGCCCTAATGTATGCTAGCTTTTTGCTTATGATATTCTTCTTGTTGATAAGGCTAGAGAGGGAGTACATGAAAAACTTGAATTAGGGAGGTCAATCTTAAAGTCTAAGAGTTTTTGTTTGAGTAGATCTAAAATCAAATATATAAAGTATAATTTTAGTAGTAATAGATTTAGTGGTGGGATTGTGACTTTGAGCGATCAAGTCATTAAAATGAGTGCACGTTTTAGATATCTCGGTTCTATTGTTCAAAGTAATGGTTAAATATATTGAGATTTTATTAGTAGAATTTAATATGTATAGTTAAAGTGAAGGAATGCTCCAAGCCTATTGCGTGATAGAAAAGTATCCCTCAACTTAAGGGAAAATTGTATAAGATAATGGTCAGACGTATAATATTTCATGGAGTAGAATGTTGGCTATTAAAAAAAAACATAAAATTAAGTAAAGTATTACAGAGATGAGGATGCTCATGTGGATGAGTGTCTTTACTCTTAGAGACAATGCAAAATGAGTATATATGTGAAAAGATTGGAGTAGCTCCAGTGGTAGATAATTTTAGAGAGAGTCGCCTTAGATGGTTTGGTCA